AATAGCGAAGAACTTTAAACTGGACATGTGTGTTGTGTGTAAAAAAAGCTCTCTATTTTATATAATTCTAAAAATTCTCGTAAAATTAAGATTTAAAAATAAATATGTAAACGTTGAAATTTATGTCGCCATGCTTGCAAATGTTTATTTTTTTTGCGATTTATTACATATTAATGGATTAACCAATAAGGATCTTCAAATAGTTTCAGAATGATTATTTGCTTATTTGCCCAGAATGATTCGACGATAAGGCGACACCGTTTCGGCATGGTTGTCTTTTTTTCGGGGAGCAGCCTTAGCAAACAACTCGCACTCGTAACATGAGCTTATCCCGGTATTCCCATTCGTAGGGAAACACTTTTACACGTGTTCCGCGGTCGAGCGACCATTTAAGTAACCGATCTGTTTGTGGAACCGATCGTTTCATAGGCAACCTATTTACACGCTGATATCAAAGGCATATAGGTCTATCGTTTTCTAGATGAATGGTATTGTTGAATTGCAGATAATAAATGTCGGAAAATAAATTTCAAGCGAGTTAGCATTTCCGCGATATACAGCATAATATGGCGTGGTTGCACTTTGCCTCGTTCAAAATCGTGCTGCACTTTGTGTCTTGCATAATCCTGTTGTCGCGATTCATCCGCTCTCGCATTTCGTCGACCGGCAAATTAATCACGAATTCCGACGGACGAGACGCAACCTCGCAAGTCGCGTTCGCGTATTTATACGATGCTCGGAAGAAAATGCATACACATATTTAATAAGACAAGATTGAAACTCGATATAGTCCGCGGTAAGTTTAATTAAACACTGACTCGTGTGTGCGACGTAAATGTAAAAATAAAAAGAAAGAAAAATAAATTATACAGACGACAAAATAATAAGGCTCGCTTTTTAAATACAAAGCCGTATAATTATATATTAACGAGAAGAAAGAAAGAGAGAAAGAGATTTAGATTCTATTTTTACTCAAAATACACTTCGAACATATTTCTTTCTTGCCTTAATCGTCTCGAATAAATACAGAGATCATTTCTGCGTGTCCTCTCTAGAGCGCCGAGACCTGAATTCACCGAAATTATACCGGCTTCAATCCTCTCTAGGACCAAAGCGATAAATAACGGTAATGATTGTGTAAACATACATGGCTCTAGCGAACGCGCGACGAGAATCCGTGCAATGAAGTCCAGGCGGGAGATTGATTTACGCGATGCGAAATCGCGATGTTCATCAATATCAATTTCCCGCAGCAGTGCTACGATTTTCACCACGTCCCCGTATATATAGTTATAATCGTATACACGGTAGTTACCTTTCTACAAATTTATAACCGAGCTATAAATATACAGAAAGCTCCCGAGAGAGTTCCGTCGGTCTTTGGGAACATGGCAGTCGAGCTCGATTTTTAATGTGAAAAGTCATGCATCAACGTATTTGAACCCAAAACACAAATCGCGAAGCAGTCACATATTACCGAATGCTTTCTCTGACAAATTTGCCCCCTAAGAACCAGGTATCAACACGCGAGAAACCGTCCGTCAACGGTTTCGACGACTTCCTCGCCGTGTAGACTATGTAACTCACAAGCGACGCGTAAATTGGTACCGCAGAACGCACGTTCGCTGAAATATTATACGCGTCGACAGGTACATTTTCCGTTGCCAAAAAAATCTCTCGCATTTACTCGCGCATATGCATCTCGAAACGGCACCGTGATGAACTATATTGACCGAAGTGTTATAACTTTGCTTGAAATAGGCACGGACAAAATATTATTCGACTGAAAGTTTCTATGTTTATATTCCATTATTTGTTTCTAATCTGTAATCACTTTTATTATCAATTATTAGTCCTCGTTTCTTTTCGATTTAATTATTTCGAGATAGAAGGAAACGGATTGTTTCGAAGCAAGCTTAATCGAAATTTGCAATATATTTAACAGTAATTGTAATGTAATCGCAAAAAATATAATTGTTTTATTTTAGATACTTAGATTTGTGACTAAGAGAGACAAAGTTCTTCTATTAAATTATAAAAGTCACTATTCTTGAAATGTAAACAAACATTTTCCTTCAATATAAATGATTATAAATGATATTGTCATATATAAATGACAATGATTGTCATATATAAGTGACAGATCTACAATATTATATTTATTTATATCACTTTGATTTTACATTTAATTTTAAGATATAAGTATATATATAAAATAAATTTAGATATATCAAGCATCTCTAACATTATCATTAATAATATATTAATATTTAAATATTTAAATTTTCATATAATTATCAGAAAAAGTGTCTCTAATTTTTCAGTTCTTTTAAGTGCGTGTGTCTTTTTATTATATTTCTTATATGCATAAATCTGATATAATTTTCGCAAAACCATTACCATATATAAAAATTAAAATAATAAATAGTTTCACTCCTGTTTTAATAAATAACCATCGTTTACGTGTCACGCTTACGAATAGTTAATCATTTATTGTAATTATCGCAAGGAATGATCGCATCTGATGGCTTCTAATATTTGTCATGATTGTATTTCGCGAGATAATACGATGCACACCGGAACGACTCACGCTACTACCTTCTCGTTGAGTCTCGCAGCGCGAGAATGATAAGGTCACCGAGAATGTAAACAATCGCGCGGTACGCGCACAAACGTACGCCAACAAAAGAAAATATATACTATATGTATTCGTATATATAATCATACTTATATATTTTAAATTATAAGACACAGTAATAATCGCGTCCTAGAATGAGATTGTATATTACTTGTTAGCGACAGACGTATATTATTAAAATATTAATATGAACGTACTTATTAATTAATTCTTATTAACGCATCGTAACGTCGCTCGACTCGGAATTGATTTGTCCTATATTAGTTACATTTTATTTTTGTAAGTCCAGCTAATATCGTTTTAATACTTGTCGCGATCGCGATTCGAAGGATAATGCAATGATGGAACGCGACTCGCGGTACTCGTTCAAGTCTCACGATGCAATACCGATGTATGTGACATATGTATGACATGTCTTTTATACGCGGTGATCTTCTTATCACGGATACTACATTCTTACAAATATAATAATTTTCTTCAATTGCTTCTTTGCTCTTACATTTTCCAATACAAATGTAATGTCCTGTTTTATTAATATGCTCGTTGCTTGTAAGAGGGAATATAAAATCTCTATTTCAATAATATAGTATCGGATATACTAAAGTTTTAAATGCGTTTGAAATCGTCATTGAAATATTATAAAATGAATCTCTTCTATTCTGTTTCGTATATACATATATGTTATAATACAAGATAATAATCGTTCCCTAAAACACGAGATCGTATTTGTTAGTGACAGACGTAGATTATTAGAATATATACAATTAAATATAACTATACTTATTAACGCGTCGCTTGATCTGAAAAATTGTTCTGTCCTGTATCAGCTACGTTTTATTTATGTAAATCTACTTAATGGTTAAATAAGACACGGTATATTGTTTTAATATGTACTCGCGATCACGATTCAAGAAATAATGACGATATATGGAGCGGCTCGCGGCTCGCGGCTCGCGGTACTATTTTCCCGTTCGAGTGTCACCACAAAAATGACAACACAACGATCCCGTATAAACAATAGCGCGCGATACGCGCAGAAGCACGCGCCGAATATTATGACGTGTTGTTTTTATACGCGTGGTCTTGTTATCATGAATATCACATTCTTACAAATACAGGGTGGCCCACCGAAAACGAAACAGGCATGCTTTTAGCATTTAACCTCATTTGTTCGAAAAACGCTCGGGCAAGTCAATTTTAATTTGCAAGGAAGACATGATGTTAATTGGCTATTTCCGTTCACTTAACTTCAACCCCAAAAGAGGAGTTAATTTCACCCTAAAAATTTTGCCAAAAAATACGCCTATTTCGTTTTCAGTGGGCCAGTCCGTATAATAATTTTCTAAAATCTTTTCTAAAATTTTTTCTCTGTTATATTTCCTGTTTCAATTTCTGTTATATATTTCCTTGTAAAAGAGGATAAAATTTATTTCAATATAGTACAGTATATATTCAAGTTTTTTTAAATTTAAAAGCTTTTGAAAATATCATTAAAATATTGCATTAGGAATTCCTTCTTTCGTTTCATTTCGTATATACACGTGTGCGTCGCTCGCACACTTTGTAGCTTCGAGGAAGAGTGACACGGGCGTTTTCGTAGTTCGTAGTAGGCTACTAAATCAACCCGAGTTATGCGCCGACTAATTGTGAGCTACGTCCCTCCTCCCTCGGAAACCAAATATAACTAAACGGAGCGAAACTAAACGACCGAGCCGATTAACTTCTCAGCTCGCCTCGCGTACGCACACGCACATGTGGACACGTACGTAAGGAAGCACACATTGAGCACCACAAAGTATAGAAAGGAGACAACGGAGGCAATCTTTCTTTTTATCGTGTCTACTTCGTCGGTAGATAAATAATCGTTGATTAAGAAGCTCACCGTTCGCCGCAGGAGACATAACTTTTATTTGGATGAACAGAATACGTTTATTAATTATCTCATTCTTACGAATTATGTACTACGAGTACGATTTAATTTACGAGAAATTACTATCTAAAGTTTCCTGAATGCCACATTACAAAGAATCAATTTTCTGTCTATTTAAAAGGCAATTATTTTCATCAATTAGCTCTTTTTACTAAATTACTCAGAATTATCAGATTATTACTAACACAATAAATATTAATAATAAAGATTTATATACTGAATCAGTATTTCTCCAATCATCGCTATCTTACAATTAATCATTTGTCTTGAATCTGGAATGGTAACAGATCGTTCCCTAAATCATGCGAAGATGACTTAGCGAAACGCGAAAAGAAATTCCCCTCCAATTAACGAGCGCGGCTTCGGCCGAGAATAAATAAGGATTATCGTACGCCTAGACGATGTTGCAAGAGAGTATGATGTGTTTTGTAGTCTGGGCGCAGAGTGACTTTGGAGATGAAACCAATGGGGGTCTCGCAAGGCTCGATGCAGGCCATGGCGCCCATACCCCCGGTGGTAGCAATCCTAGTACACCGGGGACGACTCCCTCGACACCCTCCGGTGGATATTCTACCGGTCAGCCGAGAAACCGTACGAACACTCATAGGCCGGATATCCGAAAAGGTACGTTTCGATTGTGCAAAATTAATACAATATCTTTATATATATATATATTGAGTTTACGTACGTCAAAACTTTGTGGGCGATCATAATCTAACTGTTGAAACATAGATCATTTAATATCTGTTTCGCATCGATTATGATTTATTATTAATTCTTTTTATTGATCTTATTATTTTATTATTAATTGTTAAATAATATTTATACATATAGCTGTTTTTATATATATTTTTAGCGTATATTTTTTAGAAATGATACGATATGTGATATATCTTGTATATCCAGAAGCATACGTAATTCAAAATTCGACATTTAGATTCTGTAACGAGAGAGACGTATTTGTTCGAATCAAAATTTAGTTGACGAAAAGGAGTTTTGCCATTCTCTCTCGCGTTTACACGGAGTTCTGAAACGAATGCGCGAAATGGTGGATGGCGGTGAATGGGAGAAGAGACGCGGAAAAGGTTGCTTTCGTTTGTTTGCACTTTTGTTCGGCACTTAGCCGGAACACTCTCACCCGCGCCCCAAATCCCCGCAAATTGAAATATCTCCCGGAGTCTTACACTCCCGGTTAACAACAAACCTTTGTACCACGGATCTCATTTTATTCGTTCTAATACCGTAAAAACGTCAGTTTTAACATGTGCTTCTCTCACTCGAGTCCGTCGCATTTTCGTGACACGACGTGCAAATAAGTTAATTTTAATTCGCGTGTCCCCCCCATAGATCAAATATATAATAAAAAATGATATTTTTAGGAATATGAGATCATCGGAAATTCTTTCAATTAAATTACACTGGATTAATAAATATATTTTACAATATTTTACCTGGAAAAATAATTCAAAATTCTATTTATTTAATGAATAATAAATATGTAATAATAATTATAAGTAATAGTATTTTTTTTAAATTATATCATACTTCTAAGTATGTATCGCTTAATGAACCAATATTTTTTTGATATTGCGAGATCTTTTTCTACACATTTAAACTTAAATAAATATACAATGTATATACAGGGTGGTCCTCGTAACGGTCGCCACGATTTTTAAGGCACTTACAATAATCTGACATAAAAAAGTCATAAACAGAAATTTATCAGTTTCTAACCGGCAACAAATTGCAATAATAAAAATTGACCAAACATTTTTTTTCCATAAAAAAGCAAGGTCACCTTCAATTTTTTAAATGGAACTGCCTACTTTTTATTGCATATTCTTGTAGCTTATCTCATGAGCTTTTCAAAACACTATAATAAAGTATTTTTTCATTAAGTACTTTTTGAGTTATTTTATATCTTATTCTGACATATTTTGATATAAAAAATAAAATATCTCGTAAAATATTTAGTTTTCAATAATCTTACCGTAACACTTTTATGTACAGAATAATGAGACAAATCAATTAGTAAAAAAAAAAATAATTGTTTTTAAGAAAAAATATGTAATTATTTACAATGTATTTTTTAAAACAACTATTTGTTTTTTTCTTTACACTAATTGATTTGTCTCATTATTCTGTACATAAAAGTATTACGGTAAGATTATCGAAAACTAAATATTTTACGAGATATTTTATTTTTTATATCAAAATATGTCAGATTAAAATATAAAATAACTCAAAAAGTACTTAATGAAAAAATACTTTATTATAGTGTTTTGAAAAGCTCTCGAAATAAGCTACAAGAATATGAAATAAAAAGTAGGCAATTCCATTTAAAAAATTGAAGGTGGCCTTGCTTTTTTATGGAAAAAAAATTGTTTGGTCAATTTTTATTATTGCAATTTGTTGCCGGTTAGAAACTGATAAATTTCTGTTTATGACTTTTTTATGTCAGATTATTGTAAGTGCCTTAAAAATCGTGGCGACCGTTACGAGGACCATCCTGTATAGTATTTTTTATTATATATTATTTCCGCGGAATCATTAATCATTCTTCAAGAGAAATCTTAAGTTACGATCGGTCTTATATTCGAAATACTATTAACGGTTTTATCGAGGATATGATACCTTAACACTTTCCAGGTGTACGATCACCACCAGAAGTGAAACACGAATTGGGTGCTGGTGGCGGTGTCGTTTCTCCCGGAGGAGTGGTCGGAGTCAACGATACCGATGACAAGGACGGTAAGAAGAACAAACGACAAAGACGACAGAGAACGCATTTTACGCAGCATCAGCTACAGAATTTGGAAATGACATTTATGAGGAATCGATATCCGGATATGTCAACTAGGGAGGAAATAGCTTGCTGTACGAACCTTACGGAAGCTCGCGTCAGGGTAAGATTTATTATGATTTATATTAAAAAGCTTAAATTTCATTTCGCTAGAATCATTACAAATATTTTAATTATCCGAGATAACTTTTCGTAGAAAAAGACGATTCAAATAGGGATTAAACAGATTTGCCTCAGATTAGATTTATTTAAGAACTTGTTCGAATATTTTTTAAAAATAAGTTTTTTTACTCATAAAATAATAACAAGAGGGGTACATATTTTTTTCTAAGTTATAATAAAAATTAATAGATTTTTACATTTGACTTTAATTTGTTTTAATAATTTGTTTAGCAGATCGATGTTAACTCGAATGAACATTCATGTCGGGTATTCACTTTTTGAAACAACATTAGCTATTTTGAGAATTGTCTTCTTAGGAATCGGGGAAACTAGAAGTGTAACAGTTATATGGAAAGGATATCCAAAAATTTGAGTTTGTAACAAATAAAGCAGTAACAGACGCATACAATGGTTGCATTGAAGCGTCGAAGTATCGATTACAAAGGCAACAATCTGCCGAATGCAGATAATATCTTTGCGTCTTACATTCGTGAACTTTACAAATGAATTCTACAAGAAGATGATAAAGTTCTAAACGGATTATTAAACATTATTAGATAATTAATTAAAGCTTCTATTCGTAATAATAATTTTTCTTAACGCACAGTTTTTATTCGATTATTCTACATAAATTTATATTAAAAAAAAATATGATTAAATTAGGAGCCAGAAAAATCTTTAGCATAAATTAATGTCATTATTAGCATAAATTATTATTTTACATATGTAATGTTACTAAAAAAGGATAACTATCCGTAACAAAGTCTGTTCTTAACTAAGCTAAGAATTTTTCAAGTTTTAGAAATTTACAGCCAAGTCTCGTATATATAAATGCTGATTCAAAACTATCATATGTCATCGTAATGATCCGAAACATGCGGTAATAATGTTTCTTCGAAAGAGTACTTCCGAAGTTGCTAAAGAAAGACGCCTCTCTCTCCCCACGACGAAGTGGCGGCTCACGTCGAAGAAACTAAACCGTTAGAAAGTTCGCAAATCCGAAAGCGCTTTATAAATCCTCCCGCCGTCTCGCGTTCTTCGCGACTTGATTCGCGAACAAACGACGGATCGCGCGCGGTCCAAGTCCGAGAGACTTCGAAGCGGATCAAGCGAGCGGCTGGAACAGAGCCCCTTGAAATCCCGGCGGCCTGCTTGCGTTTCGCCGAGACGCTCCGGCGAATGGTCGGCATCCGCGAGACGGCAAAGCGAGGACGAAGTGTGCGTGGACACGGGGTACAAAGGAAAGGGGGGAGGGGGAGGAGGTGACGGGAGATGGACACAAAGAGGTGAGAGGTGCCGCGCGCAGGCCGCAGGGGAAGCTTTGCGCCAGTAAGCCCCGGTGGATTTATAGAACCACACACAGCGTGGTACGGTGTTCCCGCCACGGTGCTATACGCCATGTACCAAAACGCTGCAGATCCCCGACCGTCGCGGTGTCCTGTCGACTGTGCCGTTGCTCGTTCGCAAACTGTATCGCCGTTATGGAGAGACATTCCTCATTTTAAACCTCTCTTCGCGCGCATTTTACTTCAAGTGCAAAGGACGCGATCTTCTATACGATCGCCGTTAGTTTGGAGTTTAATCTTTGTTGTTATATGGGAGTTATAATAGAACCCGAACACTTCATAAAAGAATTCATGCTTGCATGCAAATTTCATTGTAAGAGGCTTCCGTTTCATAAGAAGTAGAATATCTTTTATAAATTTTTAACGAAATATTATTGCGCTCTGCGCAAGCAGAATAACAATGTTTTAGGAAATTTAGATCATTAACTCGGTAGGAAATAAGTTTCGGAATTTTCTATCTTAATTTTATGACTTTGCTTTATGTCGCAATCTGAATTATTACGTGATACTTTTTAAGGCGAATGATCTCATTGAAGAAAACTAGAGACGTGCGATTGCGTCGTCTCTTCTCTTGGTTCTCGGACTTATTTTCACAGCCTAGCGTAACGTCATAGAAATCCCTGATACTGGATTAAAGGTCCGGAAACGTCATATTGGAGAAAAGAATGGAAGAAGAGATACCGAAGAGTCGACGAGAGAAACAGGACGCGGGAGGTGAAATTGAGAGAGAGAGAGAGAGAGAGAGAGAGAGAGAGAGAAGAACGAGAAAGAGAGATCGAGCGCGCGCGAAGCTGGGTACAGTTATCTGCAAAGAGGCAGGCGTATGTTTCGGTCGGTGGCAGCAGAGCGCGGCTGTCCGAGATAATCCGCCGGTGATTAAGACCATAAATCCATCGGCGGATTAGTATGGTTGCACCACACACCTCGTGCCGGCGCTCTGGCTGGTGCACGAGAGAGTCGCTTTGCGCTCCAGTTTCCAGTGATAGTGCTGTTCTCTCCTTCTTTCTCTATTCCCTAGGTCTCCTCTCTTTCTCTCTCTCTCTCTCTTCGCATCTCTGTCCAATTTCCATTCTGTCTCTCTCTTTCTCTCTCGCGCAATCATCCACCTCTCCCTGATTGCGGCGCGACCGACACATATTCAGTGTCTGTGTACCACGGACTGGTCCAGGGGGTTGCGCGAATAGAGAGAGAGAGAGAGATAGAGAGAGGGAGAAGAGGAGGAGGAGGAAGAGGAATCGAGCTTACACGCTATGGGAATGGGAAATGGGACGCCGCGGAATATAGGTGGACACTAACCGGTATGAGAGTGAGGATTACCGAGTGTCATCCGTATTCGGCCGGGTTAGCGGCTGTCAGCGGCCAATGCTATCGCTATATATCAATTATTACCTTTGGCCGCGCCGCGCCGCGCGCGCTTACGCCCGGCTGCATTCCGCCGACGCATAAACTCCGCTGCATCCGATGCAACGTATCGCATCGCGTATCTCTCGTCCCTCTTTGCGTCGCGCGGACCGATTTGCATCGCGACGTATCTCTCGCATACTCTCGCCTCTCCGCGCGCGCTCGCACGGTTACGCGGGTTTAACATCGAACCCGTAGCGGTCACTGGCTGTACCTGACTGTTTGGATCGCGAGCTCGTAAGTTCTGGTGAACCCGAAAAGCGAGCCACACAGGCTGTCTTGGGCTTTCGGAACGAAGCGACGATTAGCGAGGAAAAAATAATAGTGATATAATGAGCGTATCGTAACAATAATCTATATAAAATATCTGTGTAGTAAAGATAGAGATCGTATAATGAACGCGATTAGCGCTTGGACTGATATAATGAATAAATGGTAATGACAATGCACTTATAATGAGCGATCTTATTATAATAGCTTTTTCATATAACAAGTGAACAAATCTCGTGTATTCAAATGGCCAATGCACAGGGTAGTCAATAAAATTAATAAACGCAACTAAATGTGTTTGGCAAAGAAGACAATATTCCTTGTCAGAGAGAGAAAGAGAATCTCGAATCATTTATATCAAGAGTCGAGAGCAATAATAATAAATTTAGATTTGTAAGATATAATAGATGTAAGGAGAGATAAATTACTTTAGATATGATTTCATATTTAAGAGGAACCTCATAAATTTTATATTTATTGTTAGAGGGAGTACGCGCTTATTCTTAAAGTCTTGATATTAGACATATAAAACTCAGAACAGAGTGAGATTTAATGCGGAGCTAATTATAATTAGCGTTAAACCCGACGTAAAAAAATTATATTGAATATAAATATATCATATATACGAAGGGGCTACTTAAATATTTAGTATTTATTCAATAGATGGTAAACATGTTTATATATATATATAATAAATTGATACAGTGTGATCTCAAATTCAATTCAACTTTAGGCATCATAAGTTTTTATCCCGCAAAAGGCTCCCTTTTGCCCTGGCTTCGGCTTTAGAGCGGGTCGAAACGGAGATATGATCGGCTTTACGGTAATGTCCGAGAGCGGCCGTTTTCAAGTTAATATCACGTTGAACGAGATGAAAAATGGCAAAGAGCGCGCGTACTCTACAGGCGAGTCAGGATTCGAATCGGCGGCAGTTAATCTTCTATCGGGTATTGTATTTTTGATACAGATCGTTGTGTGCAATGCGTTGTGTGCAATTCCATTGTAAAGCGCGTTGGAGCTCTCTTTCAAAGTTTTGAAGATTTAGTACTATCATTCTCGAACATTGTAAAATATTAAAACATCTTCATGTTAATTATAGACAAATTTGGAAGATAATGCTATCAATAATAACGATTAATTGCATATTTTATTATTTAATATATGAACATTTTACTAACCAAAACAATATTTAAAAAATCTCAAATTTATCAATTTTTCCTCGTTATATTATACGTGCTTGATGTCTCAGTATTTATATCTCGCTCGACCGTGATCAAAGTCAGAAATATTATATAGATTCTCGGATAATCTCTCAAAATTGATTAATCATTCTTCCGGGACTGATTGTTTATCACGATAAAAAATGTTTTCGAGGTTTTAACAGTCAGTGATCTTGATTCGCAGAAGTTCCGCTCGATCGTGTCCGAAACGATGTATGTCGCAAAATAAAATCATTGTACGCATGGTTGTTCACAACTGCTGCAGCGAGATACAAACGGACAAGGAAATAAATTCATTTAAAAAGTATAGGATAGATGCCCCAATGAATAAAACGCGGTGTGCTTTTTACGAGTGTGCTGATATAAAATAATATATTGATTTAATCTGTGCACACACAATTTAAAAAGTATATTTTAAATAATTTATTTTTGCACACACATTTTATATATATATATGTATAACGGAATTCGAATAAATTGAATTTTAATTAATATTGTATATAAAAGGCAAGTGTGTGTGTATATAAAAGAAAATAAGATAATAATATAAAGAAAGTATTATTTGCAAATAATATCCATGAAAAAATTGAATTATGTAACAATATTTTTCAAATTGTCATTTACTGATGCATCTATTCTAATATTTGTGTGCAACAAGTCTCGTTTAATCGAATAAATAAAGAAAAGTAAGGAAAAATAAGCTA